GCGGGCGATGTTGCCGTGGGTGAAATCCGGGTGCTCCGGGGAGGCTTCTGTGGGGGAAACGGGGAGTCACGTGGTGGCGGGATGGGGAGATCAGCAGCTGGTGCTGCCTCAGGAGCAGAGCCCCCAGGTGCCGTCTGGCAGGTCCGACCTGACCCCACCCCCCCGGGTTCTCCCAGGAAGTGCGGCTCTGGGGCCTCCCTGGGGCTGACCCCTCAGGGGAGGCTGCATCCTGCTCCCCTGGGAGACCCAGCCTCAGTTTCCCCAGTGAAAGTGGCTCCTGGGTGGTGAACTGTCCCACGTGCTGCCTCTGTGCCCCCCACAGGCACCTCTGCCCGGCCTGTCGGCTGTGCTGGGAGCCCATCCCCAGAGCAGTGTGGATGCTGGCAGCAACCGGCCTGTCGGCTGAGCTGGGAGCCCATCCCCAGGGCCTCCTGGCTGCTGTGAGACACAGTCCAGCCCTGTGTGAAGGGGGAAGCTGGGACAGCACACGCTGCCCCCCACACCACGGTGCCCAGGCCCAGCCAGAGGCAGGAGAACATCTATGGGGGGTGGTTGGGGGGGACCCAGAGGGGGAGGGGAAACAAGAGCAGAGGGAATTCTGGGTCATGCAGCCCAAGAGCTTTTACCCCAGGGCCTGGGCACCCAGCTGGCACCAATTTCACAGCCTGGACCCACAGATCCTGCCCCCTGCCGGGATCTCCCTGGAGCTTCCAGACAGGCGACCCACCGGGGAAGAGGGTCGGGGGAGCTGGGGGTCTGGTGGGGAGGGAGGGGTTGCAGCTGCCCCTTTCCATGGTGTGTGGGCCCCCCCACTAGAAGTCACTGCCCCTGGCCCACCCTCCCCAGGGGTGGCTCTTTGGGCACCAGGAGTCTGTTCCCAGGGCTGTTTTCAGGGGCTCCTCCCCATCCCTGGTACCTGGCCCCGCACGGGTGGGATCCGGCGCCGCTCCAGGCTGGGTCAGGTCAGTCTCTCCTGCGGGAATGTAACCAGTGTCTGTCAGGGGAGGGAAGGGACCAAAACAGGGACTCAGCGAGCCCCACCCCCCATAACACAACGCTCAGTCCATGGGGCTGCCTTGGGCCCGACTCCTCTGTGTACCCCAGAGCTGAGATGCATCCTTTGGGTGCAGGGACATTGAGCCGGGCCCCTCACCCACCTTTTTAACCTGTTGTTAGAACATTCCTTACTGCTGTCCAGATAACCTGTATAAGTTGTGACTGACCGGGCAGGGTCTGGGCACAGCTGAGGACATCTTCTCAGGGTGAAGTGTTCAAATTCGGGGCTCCTTACAGCCCCCAGACTGGAGATCTTCCGAAATAGGCCACAAACCAGTCCCACTGAGCACTTCAGCTGCCTGCCTGAAGCCTCATGAGCAAAACCTCTCCGGCACCCCAGCAATATCCATGCCCCAGATGGCCCTGGGCCTCATACACAGGTGAGGGGCTTTAGAGCCCAATTTCACCTTCCCCGAATAAATTCTGTCCAGTTCCAAGAAACCAGTCATAGATCCCAGGTCAATTTACCATATGGACCTTACCCACAAGATCACACTGAGCCAGTCCTTTAGAATCTAAAATCTAAAAGTTTATTACTAAAAGAATGAAAAGCATGAGAGTAAGGTTGTTAAAGTATCATACATTACGTGCATCGAATCTCCCAGTTCTCAATGCAGGCTCGCAGCAGAGATGTTATAACTGCTGGCTTAAAAGTCCTTGTTGCACATCCTATAGCAGGATGGGTCCACAGTTCTTCCCAGCTCGTGATTCCCTGCAAGGCCGCATCTGGGGTCAGGAGCACATCTGGCCACATGGCATATTTATAACCCCCACCCCTCTTCTTCCAAGCTGGAGAGAGTCACATGGTCTCTGACAAGGCACCTAGATTCCTTCATAGGTGGAATCCTCCGGCCCATAGCAGGTCACATGGAGCCTTGCTAATTAGCATATCCATTGGCTGAGCATTCCTTGCCCCGTGCTCAGCCGCAGACAGAGGATTTTCCAGCATCCCTGCTGAATACGTGTTCATAACTCCACATACAGACATTATACAATGACAGGAAGAGCATATACAGAATCAGGAGAACAGAAGCTTTCATGTGATACCTCACATGACCCCTTTGTACAGACTTTTGGGGCAAACACCCCCCAGGGGTGCAGCTGCTCCCCTTAAAATCCAGCAATGTGACAACAGGGTGGAAGACAAAATGGAGGGTTTCCAGGGCCTTGTTACCATCTGCCAGGTGGGGTAATCCCCTTGTTCTCGCTGTGGAAAAGTACAGCTACAAGATGGCGGTTGGGGTCACATGGGCAAGATGGCGCCATTTGCGCCTGTGTTGGTCTGATGTTTGCCGGAAAGCTCATTGGATGAGGATTGGCCCCGCGCAAGGCCCATGGTCAGGCGAGTTCTTGTGTTCAACTAGGCTCGTCCCTTCATCCTGCTGGTGTCTGCCAAGGCAAACGTTTTCAATACAAAGGCAGAGCCAAAGCTCACGACTTCCCATACAAAAATGCCACCTGTATGCAAATGGTATAATCATGGGTCAGGGAAGATAATGGAGCAAGTAATTAAGGAATCCATCTGCAGACAACTGGAAGTTCATAAGGTGAGAGGGAACAGCCAGCATGGCTTTGTAAAGAACAAATCATCTCAAACCAACCGGAGACCTTTCTGTGATAGAGGATAACAAGTCCTGTGGCTAAGGGGGAAGCGGTGGATGTGGTATACCTAGGCTTTAGTAAAGCATGTGTTATAATCTTGCATAATCTTGTCAATCCATGAGGGAAATGCTACTTAGATGGGGCTACTCTAAAGTGGGTTCATAACTGGCTGAATAACCGTTCTCAGAAAGTAGCTATTAACAGTTCAGTCATGCTGGAAGGGCATAACAAGTGGGGTTCTGCAGGTTCTGTTCAATATCTTCAGTGATGAATGGCACAGAGAAGATGCTTATTAAGACTGCAGATAATACCAGGCTGGGAGGGGTTGCCAGTGCTTTGGGGGATGGGTCCTAATTCAAAATGATCTGGACAAGCCGGAGAAATGGTCTGAGGCCAATGGGATGAAGTTTAATAAGGACACATGCAAAGTGCTCCACTTAGGAAGGAACCACCCATTTCACACACACAGAAAGGGAAGTGACTGTCGAGGGAGGAGCCCTGCCGAAAGGGATCTAGGGCTCGTAGTGGACCACAAGCTAAATATGAGCCAATAATGTGACACTGCTGCAAAAAAAGCAAACACGATTGTGGGCTGCACTAACAGGAACGTTGTGAGCAAGACACAAGGAGTCATTATTCCTCTCTACTCCGTGCTGATTAGGCCTCAACTGGCCACGTCTACACTGGCCCTTTTACGCAAAAGTTTTTCGGGAAAAGACCTTTGCCCGAACGGGAGCAGCATAGTATTTCTGGAAAAGCAGTGACAATCTTACATGAGATCGTCAGTGCTTTTGCGGAAATTCAAGCGGCCAGTGTAGACAGCTGGCAAGATTTTCTGCAAGAGCAGATGATTTTGCGGAAAAACTTGCCAGTCTAGACACAGCCCTGGAGTCTTGTGTCCAGTTCTGGGCACCGCATTTCAAGAAAGATTTGAAGAAATTGGAGAAGAGCAACACAAATGATGAAAGGTCTAGAGAACACGACCTGCGAAGGGAGGCTGAAAGAATTGGCTTGTTTAGTTCGGAAAGGAGAAGACCGAGAGGGGACATGACAGCGGGTTTTCAGCTCCCTAAAAGGATGTCACAAGGAGGAGGGTGAAAAATTGTTCTCCCTGCCTCTGAGGAGAGAACAAGAAGCAATGGGCTTAAATTACAGAAAGGGAGGTTGAGTTTGGAGACTAGGAAAAATGTCCTGCCTGTCTGTAGGGGTACCAGGTAGACCCCCCCCCCAAAAAAAAACCCAGACACACTTGATCGTGGGCGGGAGGGGAAGGAGGGACCGGCTGGGAGGGGGCAGGACTGGCTGGGAGGAAGGGGGGACAGGAAGCAGAAGAAATTAATCCTTGTAGGACTCCACACATAAGGGAGTTGCCTAGTGATGAAGGAGCACTATTTGGTATGTTGTGCATGCACCTGTCCATCCATTCTAGAAGAAGTTCAGAAGAATGAGAATGTATGTCTGTCCTCTATCTATTGACAGGAGATCATCCATCAGTGTCCCTAAAAAGTTTCTGTTTCATAATGTGGCATGAATCCAATGGGCTGGGCCCTACGCTATTAGCTTCCATTAGATCCGGTCTGCACAACTCGGAAAGTGGCAAGGGCCATATTATTCCAAAGAAAACAGCTGCGGGCCACAAGTAGCGTTGCCAGATGCTCTCCCAAAAAATAATGAACACGCAGGCTAAAAAAAACCCCGGAAGACCTGGCTTCAGCACACAACCACAGGAGGCGCCACCAGGCTTCCGTCCAGTGCCCAGCCAGAAATTCAGAAAATACCAGACATTGCACAGGGCACATTGCACGTCTCCGGCATTTTCTGAATTTTTCTAGAGAAAAGGACACCCAGCAACCCTAGCTGTTTGGCTGGTCAAACACTGGAATAAGTTGCCTAGGGAGGGTGTGGAATCTCCATCCCTGAGATATTGAAGAGCAGGTTGGACAGACGCCTGCCAGGGGTGATGTAGATGGTACTTGCCCCTGCCGTGAGAGCTGGGGACTGGACTTGACCTCCGAGGTCCCGTCCCGTTCTTGTGTTTTATGGTTCTGTGATTCCACGCGAGGCAGCAAACCCTGAGCTACCCACGGCCCCCTCGCCTGGCACACCTGCTGCAAGAGTCTTATCCACATGTGACCGTGGTTCCAACAGTGACCTGCATGTTCATATTTCTGTCATGTAACGTCACCCCTGGGTGCAGCCTGAGCCGGGGCTGGGAGAACACGGGGGCTGGGATCACAAGGGGCAACATTAAAGTAGCCATCCCCGAATCCACAGCAGCTGCCCCCAAAGGCTGGGAGACCCCCAGTGACTGAATGCAGGTCCCTGACCAGGTATCCCCATTCTGGGCCCCAGACTCGGAGTGTCCCCTCAGGTCTGAAACGCCCTGAGTGTGTGGCTGGGAGGCCGAGCCGGACCCCTCACCTGTCAGCACCAGCTCCCCGGGGGC